AGGTGGACAGATTCGGCCGGGACAGTGTTATGATGTGGGGAGCGATCACCTGCCGTAGGAGAAGTGATTTGGTGATGATCCAGGGCAACCTGACAGCTCAACGGTACTGTGACGAAATCCTACGCCCACACCTCCTTCCAATCATTGATCGCCAGAGGGAGCACACAGCACGTCACACTAGAGACTTCCTCCAGAACCACAACATCAATGTGCTCCCCTGGCCCTCAAGATCACCGGACTTAAACCCGATCGAACAACTGTGGGATGCCCTTCACAGACGGGTGCGACGCCGTAACCCTCAGTCCCAGACACTTCAGCAACTCGCACAGGCACTACAGGCAGAGTGGGCTGCGATCGGGCAACACGAGATTCTGAGACTTATTCGTTCGATGCCGAGGCGATGCCGTGCAGTTCTGGATGCCCACGGTGGTCACACGAGGTATTGACTTCAGCGCCACCACACGTCTCCTTGTGACACTCAAACTGACTTTCCTCGAGTTGGTGCCAAAGACGGATAAGTCTGCATTCCCAGTGTGCAATATATTTCATTGACTCATAAAGCCTACAAGATGTTTCAAAATAAACATAAAAATACAGTTGAAATTCCTTTATGCGTTTCTTTTTTTGGAGAGTATATATGCATAACAATGTTCAGCAGACAGTTAAATACATATCCACCAAATAATGACACGAATTGTTCAATGGAACAGGATGGATGGATACTAAAGCATTCTTCAATATTTATATTTTGTGAACGGAGGGATACTCTCGTTCTTTATTTTGTTCAAATCAATTTGGTTCATTTGCTTGAAAACAAACGCATTCATCTCGCGTACATTAATTGGTGAAGCCACGCTTAAACATGCAGTAGTTGTAACTCAGTGAGTATGGTAATTGCAATCTATTGTCACCTCTATCAAATTGTCTGACACTACGATGTGTTCATTTGGCGAAACAACACTGAAATATTGGAAACATAGACATGGATGTTCGTGGTCTACCGCGAAGACAACGAGGAAATTTTCTGGAAAAATATTTAAATATTAAATATTTAGCCAAGTGGAAATTGGCAATTTATCCAGCTAGTGAAAGTTGTGTTTTAGTAAATATGATATAATTCTAAACATCGCACATGTGCGGTATTGTAGGTGATAGGGTTTCATCAGACAGGAACATGTACGTCCGATATTGTTTATACTTAAAGTCCCACGGATTGAAAGCAAAGTAGTTTTCTATTTGTGAGTGAGTGAGTAAGGTTTTACAATGCTTGTAGAATATTCCAGCAGGATCACATATTCTACGATTAAAAAAGTGAAAAGATTAAATTAAATTGACTTTGAATGTTTTGGGACTTCCGGACCCTCTCACAAAACATACATCATCATTTATTGAAATGCTTACCCCTTGTGATGGAAAAATCAACACAGACAAGCAGAACATGCTTGACGGTGATTCTCTCATTAGGATACAGAAAGGAGAATCCTCGCCTTTTAACAAGTATTCGGGAGTATATCGCGTATGTCCAATGCAATATAGTCGCATAATCACCTCTTCAAACCAAGACTGACGGTCCAAGTAGGTGTGACCAGTTGATTGTTATATTTGCAGTAACTTATTGATACCTACTTTTGCATTAGATCTCGGTTATATGGTCTAATACCAACTTTATAATCACTGTATGGGATTCGAAGTGGTGTCACAGATATGTGGAGTGCTGCCTTAGCAGCAGAATCGGCCATTGTGTTACCAGAAGTTCAAACATGGCTGGGTAACCAACAGAGGACGATGTATTGGCCAGTAGCAAGATCATTATATAATTCAATTATTTCAATTAAAAGTGCATGTTTACAAGAGAGATTTCTAAGAGGATGAAGGCACGAGAGTAAGTCTGAAAATATGATATATTGTTTATATTTAGTGTGTTTATTAATATATTTAAGAGCTGTTAATATGGCGCTTGCGTCTGCTGTGAAAATGAACTGTTATTTGGTAATTAGAAGGTACATTAGAAATGGGCTTCACGCATTATATCCACGTAATGAATGAAATATGGGACTTCGGCGTGACGAGCGAACGCTTTAACCACTAGGCTACTTCATGTGGGACCTTTAAATGTTCATGAGTTCATGAGATGCAATTCAAAATATCAAAATTAACTTTGCATTTCATCCCTCCTATAGATATAGAGGGTGATTTCCCAACTTTGAAAGCAATCCATTCAAAGTTCTAAATGTGTGAAGTAACGCAACGCTTTCAAAAAATTAGAAAATCGGAACCAAATCATCGGACTGCATCGCCAATTTAGACAAAAGAAAATGCTTTCCAAAATTGAAAACAGTTTGACAAACATCAAACGCTTTTCAAGTTATTGATTTAACAAACAAATGAAAGTTAAAATTTTAAATTGCTGTAACGCTTACAAATATGAAAACATTCTAAGCAAAATTGGCACTGCACTTCTACTTTAGACTAAGTAGGTGGTCCCCAAATTTGAAACAATCCAACCTATCGTTTTCCTTGTTATTCTGTCTAAAAGTAGGACATGAAATTTATGTATTGTAAACATGAGTATTTTCCATATTTTAATATTTTAAAATATTCCATAATACTAATAATAATTACTAAAAAATCATAAAATAAATTACATGGTACGACTCGTGAGCACGGGCACATCTGCATGCATGAGATAGCTTTGGGAATGAGATCACAGCGATACTGAAATTCGGCCAGCTGCAGGGCACGTGTGGTACAGCTAGCCTCTTGTTGCACCTAAATTGAATGGTTGCACAAAAACGCTCCATGTAAGAACCCTGTAGGTGCTTTGTTTATGACACAGGCTTGAAAAGTCATTTAAAAATTCATAAGGTTTTCCATCAGCAGGCATGCGATATATATGTGTATTTCTTATTTCGTGTATCGGCATAATCATTTCTCGGATAATTATTCTAATATTAATTGTAACATATGTTATATTTAGGATAACACTCTGGTCCTCTGGGGTGTGAGTGAATAATATATTAAAGCAATATCACAGCGGCTTCAAACAATACAGGTAGGAATTTAACCCAGGACTTCGACGTGACGAGCGATCGCTTCATAAGCTTGGTTACCCCACCTATAAGGGAGCGTAATCGCAAAGTAAAATATCTTACATTTCACCAATTTTGTGTCACTGGGTATTCACAGCTTTCGGGGTTTGAAATGGTCTGCAGTAACCCATGTTTGTTGTAAAAGGTGGCTAACGGTGGCCACGCTCGCTGGCTTGGTTCGCACAACTCGTATACCAATTGCATAGATCGATGCTCATGATATTGATCACTGGATTGTCTGGTTCAGATTCAGTTACTTTGATACCGCCGCCATATAGCTGGAACACAATAAAAAACAAAAACAAAGTACCAGTTAATGATCCCTGTGCCTATCTCTATACCCACTCACTCGCTCATAAAAAGAAGAATATGTTTAAACTAACTGGATATTGCATCTGGGAAGATGTTACAATTCGACTCATACAAAGGGAAAGTTGTGTTTTTCGACCTGGTAAAACGACTATTTTGGCAGTTACCAACACCATAACAATATCCCTAATTTAACAGGCACTTTCTTCCTCTCTCTGTCGTCCAATCAGACGCCACGTCGGCACTTGAAGAGCAACCTCTCGTGGTGAGTGCTTGGTAACACTGGGTAACGTCAGAGTCAGGAACATAATCGCCAGCACACACAAAACAAGAAAGAAAGAAAAAGTACTAGAATCTGTACTTTACTGAGAAAGTGTAATCCCAGATATAACATATGTTACATTTGACCACTTTCTAAAATGGCATTGTGTATTAATTTCATAGCTTTCGGCCGTTGCAGCCGTGCCAATTAACACTTATCAGAGGGGTACACATGTACAAAGTCCGCTGTCTAGACTACCAGCTGTCCGATTTCCATTTTTGTGGATGCCGCGGTGGCTGAGCGGTCTAGGCGTCTGACTTTGTGTGCTGGCGATTAGGTGCCTGACTCTGAGGGTGTGGGTTCGAATCCCGGATGGGATTCAACCCACCCACCCCACCCCAAAGAAAAAAAGTACTAGAATCTGTACTTTACTGAGAAAGTGTAATCCCAAATATAACATATGTTACACTATCAGCTATTGAAGCATTTGCCCGAATCATGTCTGGAAACACTTATAAATATATTTGAGAAAATATGGACCAGGGATTTTTCAACCTACACTAAAACTTGTAAAGCGATGATATCCAGGGAAATGCTGCTCAAAAGCGCTGTTGTGTCCGAGAAAAAAAATTCCACTGATCAAGAGCTAAGTTGAAAGAGAGTTTCTTAAGTTATAATTTGAATTCAGTTGGAGTGGTCTGGGATTTGATATGGATTGGCAGTTCATTCTACAAGCATTGTCCGGCATATTCAAAGGCTCTTTCGCCAAAGGTCTCTGTGCTTGATGTTGGTACTTGTAGTTGCAGCCCCTCTTTGGATCTGAGTGCGCGACTTGGCTGGTATCTGTGAATGAAACTGGACAGGTAAGACGGAGCTGATCCACCCAGGCACTTGAACACCAGTACCAGTATGTTATACTGAATACAGTACTTCACTGGTAACCAGTGGAGGTGTTGCAGGACCCGTGTTATATGGTCATACTTCCTGGTTTTGCTAACCACCCTGGCAGCAGTGTTCAGGGTGCCGTTCCACTAACCGATCTTAGCCCTACGCCAATCGTAAACCCCTAAAATCCCAATCTTAGTGTGACGTTACGATCGGCATACCGTTCCACTAACCAATCTTACCTAAGTCAATCGTAAAGTTAAGATTCAAAGTCTAAGTTGCTCATGACCAACTTAGGATAGCTAAAATCAATCGTAGAGAAACCAAAATGGTGGCTTTCCTATTCTATGTGAAAAATAAGAGCGAGCATTTCACCGTGAGCGTCCCCTAAAGTCCCCCATGAAATGAATTTGTATATTTCTGTGATGTAAACAAACACTGCACTGAAGCCTTACAAATGTCAGGCCAGTCTGACCACTGTCGTCATGGGAACACAACCGAGCGAGTCGGTGTAACACATTTGTACAACAATATTGCAACGTCATGGTTAAGAATAGGGCCAGCCGTGAAGTGAACAATGTTCTGAAGCAAAAAGATACAAATATGCTTGATTTCACTGCGCATATTTGGAGGGGGGTTCTAAAGGCAGGCCGCGTGTTATTCAAGACCACTGACAGATTCTACATACGTCATAGCCTCGTCACGCCTTGTTTATTCTGATTGATAAGGTTCAGGCACATACTAAAAGCTCAGACACAATTGACATTTTTAAAGTCCAGACTTAAAACCTGTTCTCAGTATATTACTTATAATCTCGGCTGTAAATATTCTCGTGTAAATTATCTGTACACAGCGCTTTGAGCATGCCCAAGGATGTGGAATAGGCGCACTATAAATATGCATTTATCATTATTATATTATGCTTGATACCCAGCGTTCTCACGCACTTGCACCTGAAACCAAGGTGCTCACTACCCTAATATTTTGCTCTAGGTTTTTTTCTCCACGTTTACACTTGGTTGGAAAAATACCCATGAAGGTCCGGGTTAGAATATTGAACTTCAATAACCCATGCCTGTCGTAAGAGGCCACTAACGGAATCGGGTGGTCAGGCTCGCTGACTTGGTTGACACATGTCATCGGTTCCCAACTGCGCAGATCGATGCGCATGCTGTTGATCACTGGATTGTCTGGTCCAGACTCGATTATATATAGCTAAGATACATAGCGTTCACTAACATGAACGCTCATGTTAGTGAACGCTATGCATCTTAGCTAGATTATTTACAGACCGCCGCCATATAGCTGGACTATTGCTGAGTGCGGCGTAAATCTAAACTCACTCACTCACTCAGTTGGTTCGTAAACTACTTGCTTTCATTTGCTAGACTATGCAAAGGGAGATAACTCGTGCCTCGCATTCCTCTATCTCTCGCACGAAAGAGTCTCGATTTAAGCTTGGATCGGATCGTAAGATCGGGACCGGCTACGATCGGCCTAAGATCGGTTAGTGGAACGGGTGTAACTTTTAGCTAAGACGATTGTAAAATTGGCGTAACTTGCTAAGATTGATCTTAGATAAGATCGGTTAGTGGAACGGCACCCTGGACCTTTTGTAGTTTCTTCAATTGTTGATTTGTGATTTCAAAGAGAAGAGAATTACTATAGTAGAGGCGTGATGTTAGCAGTGCTTGGGTCAGTGATGCAGGGCCCGTGATGCAGCTGTGTAGTTGTTGATACATCGCCTGATTGTTCAAGGTTGCGGTGTGATTGTAGGCTCCCTTGGAGATGAGGTTGACATGTGACTCAAAATTGACCTGACTGTCAAACATGACCCCGAGGTTACGTACTTCAGAGCTTGGTGTGATCTCACAATCGCCAAATTTGACTTGTGGCAGTGAGACTCTAGGTCGAAGATGTAGGACATAATATCAAAGGTTCTGTTTTGTCTTCATTCATTTTGAGGTAGTTACATTTCATCCAACTTCTCATTTGTTCAAAACATTCCTGGACTTTCTGGAATCCTGCTTTAACGGACTGTGTTTGGAGAGGCTTAAAGGCAATGTACACCTGCGTGCCATCAGCGTACAGATGATATTGGAGGTCGTGCTTTCTGGCAATGTCACCCAGAGGGATTGTATATACGGTGAATAACACAGGGCCTGAAACAGATCCCTGGGGTACACCGAATGAGCGATAAGTCGTTTCTGATAGCTGACCGTCAATACACACTAACTGCTATCTACCTGGCATGTAAGACCTGATGCCATTGTAGTCCCTACATCAAAGCTTGGCCGGGATCATACTGACCCTTCTGATTACAACCAGTATCTTTAACGATTTGTGTCTGTAAAACCATGGAATGAATGGAAAATACATGGTAAATTTAGTATCTTGAAACCAATAACTTAGTTACGAAAATACAATGTGGTTTCCGGAAATATAGAAGTATTATTGATCATTTAGTACCATTGGAATCCATTGTTTAACATGCCATAGTATCTACAACACTGGTAGTCTCAATTTTCTGTGAGCTTGCGATACTACTTGATATGATACTACTTGGAAGCATAACATTTTAAAGGATTTCATGGTTTTGGTTTGAAAGGTCGTTGGCTCATTTTATGTCATAGTTTTGAACAGACAGGCAATTTAGAGTCTGTGTGGGTTCAATTCCGTCTGATCATTACAATCAGGATCAGGGCGTTTCACAAGGCAGTATATTCATATTAGTTAGTATTAAAATCAACACCCTTTCAAGTGTTTTAAGGATTCTGTTGTTGGATCATTTTTTGAGGATGGGTGTAAGACTTCTTGTCGTAGTATAATATGCTTACGATAATGATACAGTTACAAATCTGTCTCAATAAAATTCTCAAATGGTCAAATGAAACTAGTTTTCTGCAGAAAGTATAAACCGCATAAAGACCCAAAACTATTTTTAAACGCACGCCGACCGGGATTGTGTAAATCCAGGGACCATGCAGGCACCAAACGTACTGTCATAGTAATCTACCTGCAGTTGTCCGTGATGTATAGCCTGTGTTTTGTATTGCCATAATAGTTGAAAAACGTTTTAGATATTTTTATATGCTTGTTTTACGTCTAAATCTATGATCTTCTACTTGCTTTTACGTATATTGTCCTTCGCTGACAGATATTTATGATGATGCTATGTATTACGAATGTATAACTTGTTTTAGTCATGATATGGCTGAAATACTGCTGATATGAAGTCACTCACTCCTTACGCCTATCTTTGTACTTACTTTGTAGTAATTTGTATTGATTTATAAAAACTAGTTAATCTTACAATGCAATTGTTAATGGCATATTTTCTTAGTGATTTGTTAGCTTTTGTTGTTATTTTGTTGGTTTAACTTGCTTTAAGTATAGATGTCGGGGTTGACCTATGTTTTTGATTTTGAATTCGAAACGTAACATGTGTTGGAAGCAAGAGTGTTCCATAATTTGAGCACGCACAGTGTGTTTTAAATATTTCTGCATATCATTAATAATATAAATTATGTTTACTAAAATTTCAAAAAATTGTCACGAATCATTAACAACAATATTCGTAAATGGCACAATCGCTCTTGCACGGAAACACTTGTTCCAGGTTGCTTCAATTATCACGGTTTTACGATTAAATTTACATAACAAAAACACTCGATAAATTAACTGGGGATGTTTTCCTCATATGTTGTTAATGTACTATGTAGGTGCTTTGAGTATAGCCCAGATATTGTACCCTGACGGGAATTGAACCCGGGCGTTCGGCGTGACGAGAGAACGCTGTTATTTTGTTGGTTTCAGTCTGAATTGTTTTGAGCATAGATGTCTGGGTTAACCTATTCTTTCAATTTTGAAATCGACACGTAACAACATCGTACCCCCTAACCCATTTTACACCTTTGAATTCAGATGTCCACAGTCCTGTTCAGTTTTCTTGACATTATTCCACCCCGTGTAGTAATTCCATTGCATACAGATATTATGTCTACTTGGCCAAATCGTCATGATTCCAATAAGTCAAATGTTTTCTGTAAAATTATGAACATTGATTAAATTGAAAAAACCGATTGAACCCACAATGCTGGCATGTCAACGTTGACCCAGATACTTCGAATGACACAGCCAGGAACATGCGTATGTAGAAACGCGCAACAGCATAAGAAAGCGATCAACTACGTGAGCATCGGTCTACGCAATTGGGATACGATGACATGTGCCAACCACGTCAGAGAGTCTGACCAGCCGATCCCGTTAGTCGCCTCTGACGACAGGCATGGGTTGATGAAGACCAATTCTTACCCGGTTCTCCACGGATACCTGACGATTTTGAGTAACATATCAAGAAGACCACAGTACGCCTAGCCATTGAAATAACAACGAAATCTACCAATTTAATTTGTATTATTAATGGAGAAGGCGTCATGGTATGGCGCGGCATTTGTAGCCGGGGAACTACAAGACATAGTTATCATGCGAGGAAACCTGAATGCCCAGTGATACAGGGATGAAGTGTTGAGAACTTCTGTGGTGCCCATTGACAGCAGCCAAGAGGAGTCATTCAGCAGCCTGACAACGCATGAAATTGTTCGAGAATACCTGCACAGCGTTAACGTCAACGTATTGCCTTGGCCAACGCGTTCTCCAGACATGAACTCCATTGAACATCTCTGGGATCATCTTGATCATCCGCCGAGACAGCGTGTACCACCTCCAGCGAACGGCAGGAACTTGAACAGACTCTCTTGGACATATGGAACAGAATTCCTGCTGACGCCATCCGCCGACTGACGACGTCAATGAGGAGACGTTTATGTTGGCGTGTATGACCAGTGAGGTCACACTCGCTATTGATGACGTGTCCCCTGACGTCTTGTCTCATTATGTGACTGTTTATGCACTTTTTCAATGAACTTTGATTTGTGTAATTTTTAACTTTGACCCCTTGACACTTTCTGAATAAATTGCGGCAATTGCAAGACAAGAGAATTGTCAGTCAAACAGGAAAATGATGTCTGTTTATAAAATAATTATCATCAATCTCATATACGTCTGTTTTCTATTTTTGGGACAAGTGAAGTCGGTGATACCTTTATTTTGCCCGGTAGTTTACACTACACCTTGAAAGCCAGAATATTAAATTCGAGAGGCTCCACAGGATTGATCGTCCCTGTCGTGCACAACGATCAGGAGATCACGCCCCGTCATAGCTATATTCATATATGCAGCGAAGAGGGATTCTAGATAATTGGGCTCGCAGAGAATATTTATAAAGGTAATTGATTCGCAATTGCTCAGTAATTTACTGGATACGTCAGTCGTTATAGAAGTGATGCACTGAAACCGTTGTTGAGGGATGCAAGAAAGAACAAAAAGCGCTTACATGATAAGATAATGTGCTGCAAAGGGCCCCACCCCCAACCTACCGGGTACAACAGCCTGTCCCTAACAACAGGCATATCAAGACGGCGGTGATGACGGGAATTTGTCCGTGCTGTGCACTGGTGCTAAAGGTACCTATGCTTATGCATGTTTCATAGTACAATTAAGCTCCATAAATCTTAATGCGTGTGGTTTAAGAACGAAAATTGAATATGCCGAATTTACTGAGTATGACAGTATGAGTTTGCAAGAAACCACGACTGACATCATTGGTGATCTAAGATAACAGGGGCGGTGGGGTAGCCTAATGGTTAAAGCGTTGGCTCGTCACGCCGAAGACCCGGGTTCGAATCCCCACATGGGCACAATGTGTGAAGCCCATTTCTGGTGTCCCCCGCCGTGATGTTGCTGGAATATTGCTAAAAGCGGCGTAAAACTAAACTCAGTTATTCAATCTAAGATAACATGAACATGAATTACATCTTCATCGGTGGTATAGGTCTAAAAGAAAATCAGGTGGTATTGGTGGTGCAATCAGAAATACTTTCAAAGATTATTTTTATTATGTTAATTATGTTTTTTTCTGTTATTAAGATCAGTTTATTGATATCAAAGTCTGTTTCACATTGAACAGGATATGTATATTGTTATTTTATATCGTTCTACCTGAAGCTTCCACTTATGTGAACTGTCATGCATTTAATGAGTATGTGAACATGTTGTGGAGTTGATTACCTTTTTATTTGATAAGCGTAAAGTTTTATTGATGAATGCGGAATAAATCGATCTACCAGAATGGAATACCATATTATTGATCCTTTGAATAACTGGTTCAACTTAGCCTACCACATCAAAGGGGCACACAGAATGAAGATAGGGCTAACAATTATGGCTATATATTTATAGGACTGTGTGAAAGGTTTCAGCAATTTTTCTGTAATGGTAGATTTGCGTCAGACAAAACAATCAGACGTGATGTTGCTGGAATATTGCTAAAAGCGGCGTAAAACCAAACTCACTCACTCATAAATGTAAATATGTTCATGTATGTTGGAGAATATATTCATCATATCTACATTTCTGATAGCTGTAATAGGAAGTAATGGGCACACCACATATATATATATAGCCAGTAATGGTCCGAGCAGTCTAATTAGCAGTCTTGGAATCAGTCTGGAACAACCGAATGTGGTTGTTTTGCTGGCGTGATGTCACGCGTGGACGGCTCGTCCGAGGCAAATCTTTTGTGTTTCCATTATGTGGAAAACGTCTCCACTGAGATGAGGTCGTGTTTCGATGGACACCAAAATATTTGGCCACTTCATTTTGGGCCATTCTAGTCTCCAGCATACCCCTCGCGCGGAGACGCTGATTTTCTCTAAGCCGTGACATGACGTACGCCCAGTTTTGATTGACTGACTGACTGACTGAGTATGGTTTTACGCCGCTTTTAGCAATATTCCAACAACATCACGGCGGGGGACACCAGAAATGGGCTACACACATTGTACCCATGTGGGGATTCGAACCCGGGTCTTCGGCGTGACGGGCCAACGCTTTAACCATTAGGCTACCCCACCGCCCCTGATTTAAATGAACGTGTTTCCACAACATTCAGGGGCTAGAGAATAATCAACCGGTCTTTAATTTTAAATATCAGGTGTGTGAACTTCAGGTGTCAAAAAGCATGCAAAAAGTGTGCAGGTTCATTGTGCCACGCGCGATACGTGACATCAAAGTTCAGTTAAAGTACTTTGCTCCATGTCTATTTAGGGTTATTTTAATAATTTTTCAAATACCTTTTATTTTATGCAATTTTATTTTATGCACCGATACTTTTTTCCGTCAATATATAAAACTAGCGCGTAACCATACATATTTCTGTAACGGCACATTTTAAAAGTGAGTGATTATGGTTTTACGCCGCTTTTTAGCAATATTCCAGCAACATCACGGCGGAGGACACCAGAAATGGGCTTCAATATTGTACCCATGTGGGGAATCGAACCCGGGCCTTCGTCGTGACGAGCGGACGCTTTAACCACTAGGCTACCCCCAACCCCCAACCCCCAACCCCCAACACCCCCACCCCACCCACCCCACACACACACATTTTAAAAACCGGCTATAGATCGCCAGCAACTGTAAGCAGAAAACAATATTAGGGACCATGGGGACTTACACTGCTTTTGCTTCCTCCATGTGCCCCAGATGGATTTACATCATCACTTCAGATGTTGGAGATTACTGAGAAATTTAGAGGAACATTAAAAGAACACATATTCTGCTTTTAAATACAAAAATGAATGTAATGGGACTTAAGTGCCCTCTCACGGGAAAATAATTTTACGGTACTTCAACCCCCATCGACGGCACAGTCACAATCAATCTGTGTTCATAATAATATTTTGACATTATAATATAATAATTTATCTCTTGTATTGGAAAAATCAATGAGGTCAAGCAGGACATACTTGACCGTGATTCTTTCATTACAAGTGATACAAAACGGAGGATCCTTACCTTTCAATAAATATTCATGTGTGTATCTGCTATGGCCAAAGCGACATGGTCGTAAAATAACCTCTTCAAATCTGCATTGATAACTCAAGTAGGTGTAAACGACAGAAGGCTTTACTCAATGTAATTTATTGATCCCTCCTTGGGTGTCCTACTTCCTTGCATCAGGTCTCTATGCACTTCCTAATTCTCCTTCCTGAGTTTGGGCAATATTCTCACGGCGGGGATGCACTCACATTGTGCCTAATTATAGCTTTAAATTAGGCTACCCCCACTGTAAGATATCAGAAGTTGTGTCAAAGATTTGTTGTGCGCCAGTAGCATGTTCAGTGAATAATTCAAGAATTTCAATTATAAGTGGATGTTTCCATGACACATTAAAAAAACAAAACTGAAGGCACGAAAGAGAATCTGAAATTATTACGTATTGTTTAGATTTAGACTGTTCTGCTGTTAAAATGGCATTTGATTCTGCATCGTTAAATGGAGCTTTTGTCCGATAATCTAGAAGCTATCGTTCTAGATGTAATTATAATTTAAGCACAAGCAACTGTGTCACCATCTTTGGATCCGTCTGTAAATATAGATATGTAAGGAGCATATTTGGTTCTTAATTGATTATATCTTTGTAAAATAGGTTTCTGGTTTCTTAAGTACTGCTCGGGGCTGAGGAATAGCATAGTGGTTAAAGCGTTCACTCGTCACGCTGAAGACCCGGGTTCGATTCCCCACATGGGTACAATGTGTGAAGCCCGTTTCTGGGGTCCCCCGTCTTGATAGTGCTGGAATATTCCTAAAAGCGGCGTAATACTAAACTCACGCACTCACTTAAGTACTGCTAGTGCCATGTCCACCTGTCATGTTTTAACATTTGCCAAGAAGATGATGATAAAATATTGATGGGAGCTATACCTTGAAGACTAATATTAGCAGCGGCTATATGAGATTTTATTCTTAATCAAAGTGATGGAATATGAGAAGATTTCTTATTGTAAATATTTTCGTACAGAGATGAAAAAACACAGTCAAAACCCAGATTTGATTGATCAGGATACACATTTGTTATATATATTTTGCAATGATACGTGTAATTTCAAACGGCGTTGTTTTAGGGAAGACGCATCTGCCTCCACATACAGACTAGGAATAGGAGATCTTTTAAACGCTCGAAGGCAAAGCCTCAAAGCTTGGTGATGGATAGTGTCTTGTGTTTTTTAATTACTTTTACATGATCCACCATACACTATGGAGCCTTAATCAGTTTTGTGCGGATCAATGAGGCGTATACGTGTAGTAAGGTTCTCTGATCCCCCTCAATTTTGAATTAGAAACGACTTTCATCTAATCAAACTTTCAATCCGTTTCCAAGGCACCATCGATGAATTTTTGCTCTCAATGGTTTTCATGTGTTTGCCACGGCAAAGAATATTAAAATCATCCACGAAAAGGGATCTATCGATTGAATCAGTTAAAACATATAATTAGAACTACTGTTAATGTTAATGCTGAATAAAATGGCAGACAACATACTGCCTTGTGGAACACCCTGACCCTGATTGTAACGATCAGACAGGATTGAACCCATTCGGACCTGAAACTGCCTGTCTGTTACAAACTGTGATAAACAATGAGGTAATTGATATATTGCGAGTTGTTTATTTACAATAGCATTTCCATCAAACGATTCTAACCGTACTAAATGATCAATAGTACATCTGGGTTTTTTCCGAAAACCACATTGAATATTTGTAATTAGGTTATAGGTTTCCAGATACCAAATTAATCTGTAATTTACCATTCGTTTCAGGGTTTTACGGACACAGCTGGTTAAAGATGCGGGTCTGTAATTTGATGGACCTGTATGATCCTGGCCACGTTTTTGTATGGGCAGGGGCGGTGGGGTAGCCTAGTGGTAATAGCGTTGGCTCGTCACGCCGAAGACCCGGATTCGAATCCCCACATGGATAAAATGTGTGAAGCCCATTTCTGGTGTCCCCCGCCGTGACGTTGCTGGAATATTGCTAAAAGCGGCGTAAAACCAAACTCAGTCAGTCAGTCAGTTTTGTATGGGGATGTTCCATTCCTGCTTGACAACAGTATGAGAATCGAAACGTCGCACTCATAACACAAAAAAGTTGTTCAATATTTTTCTTCCCAACTTGTAAAATGCTACTTAAAGAAGTTCAGATTTGTCAGTTATTAAGTTATCGCTGATTATGGACCGTTGACTTTTATTCCCGGAACCATGTTCCACACCTTAGACATGGCGCTTGTTTCGCTTATATGCACGTCATACCTTGGCGCTAGTAATTGTACCATTATTCAAGTAATGAACTGTAGGATTTCTGCGAACATATTTTTCAGCTTTCTTCCTACATTTTCTGGCTTGTTTGCATCCATTGTTAAACCATGGTTTAGTGAAATGAGGGCTTAGGAATTGTTTGGTCAGCAATTTAATTTGAGTTGTATGGGAGCCGATACATTTTAAACATCAGGTATTATTTTTTCCACACACATTGTTTCAAACAAGGGACAATTGGCCTTCGTCAAATTCTGCCGTGATCAGTTCCACAACAGACCCTTCAAATTCATTGTAAACATTTGAATCTGCGAGGGACAGATAAAGAGTAGAATAGGTTCCTGTAGCAGGGTGTAGATAGGTGCTTGATTCATCATTAAACACACATAAATTATTATCAGAAATAAAAGCTTCAGTGACCTTGCCTTTATTGTTTGTACTTGAACTTCTCCGTGATGAAACAGGGTTGAAGTAGCTGATCATATAGATTCTGAAGATGAGATTGTCGAAGAGCAGATGAAGGTGGAATGTACAAAGAGCACAAAGTAAAATGTTATGCACAAAGTAAGGTGAATAAAGAAAGCTTGAAGATTTGTATTTAGATGAACACCACTATGAATGATGTTCCGTCTCACTAATATAGTAGAACCAGTCGCTTAATCGAAAATGAATGATGTCACTTGTACTACCTTAAATCAAATGTATCAGTGTGTTTAAGATGCGTCCCTTGGGGACAGAATGTTGACAGTTAATAATCTTGACCTAACAACTGTATCTCATTAAAATTCGTTCCAAGTCCTCTGCAATTCCATCGAATTATATTAGATGAATGACTCAAAGAATGATGAAGAACTCCTCACAGTACACTGTGACGGTGGAGTATCTTCCATGTCCAGAGCACTATAGGGGACATCTGATTGAGATGGGACTCCTGGGCGATTGTTTCCTATTTATTTATTTTTATCTTTCACGATTTGTAAGATTTGTAGTTGCTGATTGCTCAGAGATTGGTTGTGACTGAGTCTGACTCTTTTCCTGGGATGTTGAAAGTGATGTTGATGTTTGACTCTCGGTGAGATCGAACACGATGGCACGTGTCAAACAGATCTGACCCATGTCAGCTCAGTCTGACATGACACAAATATAGTTAGAGCGACAAAGCCATTTCCACATCCATAAGAAATCTCTGTCTAAAGCAGAGTCGATTGTACAATTGTGCCTATATCGTGAGTATATATTTGTTTCAGCAGTATTACAGCTGTTGGGGCTGGTTATGTTTAATTGCATTGGGTGTTGGTGTTTTTGAAGATGCTCTTGTTCTTTTCTTGCTTTTGCTGGACGCTTACTTCGTGGTGACTGTGTTAGATTGGTATATTTACAGTTCACCTAGGACAGTACCGAATTATCACAGTTGATATACAGGTAGGTTTGCTGGTGCCGCTCCTCAAGACATGAAGTTTCATTAGAAGCCGGCGTCAAATTCGTTATCAGCAGCTGCAATCAAGATTTTGATCCCACCTTAGGAATTTGATTAACAAGTGGCAGAGGAGAGACCACTTTCATGCAGTTTGCTTTTAATGGTGTTGTGTATAAAGTGACGTCGTGTTCGTCTCAAGCCTGAAGAAGAGGTACGAATGAAGTAAGTACAGATGAAATAGAGAATCTTGTGCGTACCAAAGTTTATCACAGGAGCAGAGTCTAACAATCAATAATCATTTTAACGTCATTAATCATACACGCGTAAAATAAATTACATTATTGAACATGAATTTCATAAACGTATTGGTTTCATATTCATAACTATTCATGATTAGCTTGATATAAACTTGTTATAGATTTCAAAATAAAAAAAATAATTCTTAGATTGGCATTTACAAGTTGGGACGTACAATATCAAGAAACTTTATGGATAACACCTTCTTTCAACAGACACCAATCAATGATTTTCCATGCAAAAGTTCCTCGGTTTGCTATATCTGACTGACGAGTACCTGTAGAACCGATAAAGAAATCCAGTTTTCTCGTGGT